CAGTCAACATGAAGTGGGGTGGGTGATTGAAGCCTACCGTAGTTTTAGAGAAACAGGAGAAGTTGCCGATGAGAGCAGAGGTGCTGATGTCTAGCAGAGCACCGGGAATTTGACAGGTAATTAGAAATTTCTGTGGTCAGCGATCAGGGGTAAATCCGAAAGTCTGTTTGTTGAGTCCAGCCTCATTGGCTGTGAGCAACATTGAGGAGATGTGGAAAATGTAGAAAAGTCATTTAAAAATGTCTTCAGGATGCATATAACATCACCCTCAAGTAATAAACAGAAACCTGTGGAGATCAAATGGAACAAGAGGCTTTGGTAAAGTGAACAACAAAAAAGGACTTCCTGCACACACACACACACACACACACACACAGAAATAAGCATGATGATGCACATGCGCACTGGCACCACCAGAGGCAAGAAGGCCTGTGCTGAACCGAGATAAACCTGCAGCCAGCATGTGGTCAACAGGCTGACTGATGCCGCTGACAAAAGAGCTCAAAGACACGGAATGAAGAGCAAAAAGACAGAAAAAAACAAACTTGGCTAAATTGAGCTCGTATGAAATCCCACATCTCTTATCCAGCAATCTGTCCTGAGTTCACGAGAGCTATATTGATCTAGATGCCGTCCTCAGGTTTACAATAATACACGGTTTACAGCAATAAGGACAATGCCTGAAGGCAGAGCAGCCACACCCTCAGAGCAGTACAGTGCCAGAATTTACACTAAATCGTTCAGACTCACAAGAATCCGCTACTAGAAACAACTTTAAATATAATTTGGGTGAGTAATTAAAACATTTTGTACAAAAGCATCTCTTAAAAAGGTTTGCTGTGTAGATGATGCTCTGTCACTATCTGCCTTTTGACTTGTGTTCGTCAAACTGCCGTATATTTTTAATTACTCCGGCAAACACACAGGCTCCTGCTTGTCTTCTAATCCTAGCTCTTGTTTACCTTGTTGTGGTTCAGATATTCTGTTCGTGTGGCAATTCAACCAAAGAATCATTTGAAACAGCAAACACCTAAAAAAAATTAAACAAATTAAAGCAATTTGTGTGAAATAACTTTTTTTTATCTTGCATTCTTCACTGCTTACCTCACAATGCCTTAGGTTTACAATGTGACCTACTTGCAAGTGTTCCATCTCAACCTAACCCCAGGTTAGTGACGACATTATTAGCTGAAGCCACCTCCATAAAATTCAACAAAAACGAGTTTGCACTAACAATCTGAAAA